TTCACAAGCGATCTGGACCTTGATATCTATCTGGCTTCTCGCGGAACTCACGAACTATATATGATACATACTTTGCTCTCTCATCGAATATATAACAAAGTAAGGGCGGTTCACGCCTTTGTTCTCGGGAAAAAAGTTGAGCTTTTTGAACTTTTCAATAGTGGATGAGAGGGAGGGGGTTCTGGGGAGCAATTCCCGGTGCCTTCCATTGGCGACCCGAATGAGTCGTCGACATTGGTTTGGTCCCGATGGCGAAGAGATGAGGCCTTGATCTCGGATAAGGGAAATCTCAAGAGACAGTAATATTATAGAGACAATCAATATCAGGGTAGTATTGGGATATAATTCTCGATTTTGGACCGGTGTCTTTGAGCGACACATTCTGAAATCCACACTATGTTCCTGGCTTCTTGCTCCTTGAGTTTGACAATAGCGTAATAGAGACCAAAGTGAAATTGCTGCATGAATGACTTCACAGTCAGATCCACTTCGTACTCGAATAACTTATCTTCAAAAGTCTTATCGCCACTCTCGTTCTCGAATGGCTCACTATACTCGACGTAGCACTCGGCGATGCTTTTCACTTGGAACAGGTCTTCGGCTCTCGCAAGCGCAGCCAACCCATCGGGATTGAGTTTCCCACATCGAGGCAGCAGAGCCATGCGTTCGTCTCGTTCGAGTTCGGTCCCGAAGGAGTTCATCGTGATAGTGAACGCTCGACGATCAGCCTCGAAAGCCAAGATCTCGCACATGACCGTCGCCGTGGTTCCTCCGATTTCTTCACAGAATTTATAAAACGCTTCAAGATAGGCGCGGTAGAGTTTGTTCCGAATGATCTCGATATTCATCTCGTTCAGATCCTGTTCCAGCAGACAGTCTTGGAAGAAAGGAGCCAGGGGAGTGTCGATGATCACCGCGTTGTACAGTTCAGCGGGGGTTTGAGCGATTTCAATCGCCCTCATCTCATCGAAGGATCCGAGAGGGTGACATTTGGACATCAGTTCGTTCAGCGGCCGCTGATGGAGCGCCCCTGTTATAAGCAGGATGATGTGTCAATCATGTATGAATACGTGATGAAATCCAGAAATGTCGCCAGTTTCCCTGTCGCATTTTTCCTCATGTACTGGAACTCCACCACGAGCTTCTCCCGGAGTTTATCGTCTATGTTCGACACGGCAAGAGGTGATGCTTCATTAGCGAGTAAGTTACCGTAGTCTGTTGAATGCAAATGCACTTTTATGTCTTCGAGTGTCTCGCACTGCACCAAGTTGTTGTAATCCGCTTGACGAAGGATCCCATTTTTCAAGCCCCGGACGAAGCCTTCCAAGTAGCCGAATTCTTTGTTGAACAGAAGCTCGTCCAGCATTTCGTAGACGACAGGAGTCTTATCTCGGACGAGAACGGTGTCGCATGGGATTGAGAATAGGTTGGTGGGCACGTACGCTCGAGAGACACTGTGAACCGCTGCTTCACGACGACAGTCTTCTCTCTTCCTTCTACAGAGAAACCGTCTTTTTCCAAATAATTCCTCCTCGCCTACAGGTTTTCGGAATGTTGAAGCAGACGACGGACAACCCGCCTCTTTCAAACGGGCGAAGTTCGAGCAGTCAATTGAACAGTTACCAGTCGAGAATCCATGCCGTCGACGGGGTTGTACGCTCCTATGTTTGGACGTCTGAGCCAAGGAGACTTCTTTCCGATGTTCAGCGAAAGGAGCGATGGCTCCAGGGCTTGGAGTCTAGGCGAGGAGGTCGGCGAGCGATACGAGAGGAAGTCTAAATCGAATATCTGTACCTGTCGATGCATCTCGTATATCCAGGCGCTCACGGTCAATGGGTGTCTTTAGTATCGTACAGTCAGCGCCTTCGGGCACTGTGCAGCCTGGTGGAGCCCGCCGAAGAAGGCTTTGAGGGCTCTAAGGGAAATTCAGCGACATCATCATGACACGGTAACCAGAATTGCTTGTAGCGAGAGCACGGGCCTATCGGATCTTACAAACCTCTTTGTTTTATTCCATCAATAAACACAATTTCTCTTTCATCTCCGAAACTTATGTACACAAGCAAACATTTCTGGAGACCCCGCGTGACAGTAAGTGAGGTGGGCGAGCTCTAGTTGTTTTTTTTGCTACCCCCGAAACCTGAGAACCCCATCATCGCCGCCATGTCAGGGTCCAGGCCCTGGTCCTCGGAGTCAATTTTTCTTCTTTTTTCCTTCTTCTTCTCCTTCTGGTGTTCCTTCATACGTTCAGTCTCCTCTTCGACTTCCCGTATCCTTTCGCTCAGGTTGTACTCCTTCTTCTTCTCCTCAACCTTCCTGCGATTCATCTCGAGCCGGTTTTTCACTTGGTCCAGCGAGGATCTCTCCACTTTCATTGACATACCCAGATTCCTCTGATGCTTCTTGCCGTTGATGTGATCGAGGAAATTGATCGAATCCTTGACAACGCAGTCACATACATTGCAGTAATAGCCGCCGGCTTGCGAATGGTCGGCTGTTTTCGATATGACTGTCGTCTTACCCAAGCGTGAGTCGAGATCCACTTTATATTGTCGTGGTTTGAGCAATTCGCGCTGCGGCTTCTTCTCGCGCGAGCTCGAAGGTCCGACGCTGGGTCCGCATCCGTCTTCATCGTCGTCTGACAACGATCGTTTCTCGTTGTCTCCTTCGGCGCGTTCCTTCGCCCGCTTTTCGTATTCGTCACGATCCCATTTTCTTCTGTGATCACCGGGATTCGGGAGGCTCATTGCTGACGAGTGGGATTGTCAGTTTACCGGAGAACTTGAGCTAGGAACACCTAGATACGAATGTGCAGCGTCAAATCCTAGTCCACATAACAATGGACTTGGAACATCAGTCATATACGTATACATACAACTCATATACATCTGCTCCAGAACCCGGAATGTACCAAGTAAAAAAAAGGAAGTAAGAAAAACCAATTACCAAGTCTTTCGAGGGGTGTCGCGTCGAGTGTCGAGCCAGCGCTGCTGCTCTTATGAACACAACAAACAAGCTGACCCTTTCTTCGTCCCTCTCTCCGACTAAATGTTCCGCGCGACAGAGGAGGTGGCGCTCTTGATTTCTCGACCTACTTTGTACTATCATTTCTAAAAGGAGTGCTTACCGGATAGGAACTTGAGACTTCTGCGCTTGTGAGCTCCCCGGGTACTGGAGAACCCGGGATATCCCCGGGGAAGAATCTGAGGTTCTTGAGTCCGAGTTATTGGCGAGGAGGAGGAGGAGGAGTCTTGGCGCGAGCTTCAAAACACAACAGAAGTTTCAGCCGACGACGAATTCCTGAGCTGCCGCACCGGCTCCGAGGCATCGGAGCAGCTGAGATCTGGAACAAACTCGACGGGGATGCCGCCGGGCTTCCCGAGCGAATTCCGCGTTACCAAACCTCTGGAGCGCTAGGAATGAGGCACCGTTTTGGGAAAACCTGTCCTCCTACTCAGTGAAGTCGCCGGATTTACTTCGCGGCGAGAGCGTCTCTGCGAGCGAGCCATTAACGCTCCTTCGCAAGGAAAAGAACGATTCTCAAGGGTCCCGAATCAGGAATCTCTAGGTGAGAGCTCGGAGCTGAGGCTCACACATATCCTCCGGAAGGAAACCTCGCTTATTCGCTTTTTTCTGGTGAGCCGGGTCTAGAAAATCCTCCGGATGTCTCGCATCTGCGCTGAGTCGAACACTTTTGGCGATTCCGGATTCCGACGGTCCGAGCTACAGAGCGCAGGAGAGAGAGGCGCAAAACAGTATTCGGGAATCGTCACTGCTGGATCGGAATCAGTGAACGTTCTGGTGATTTGAGCGCTGCGGCTAATGAAACAGTGACTGACTGGAGCGAGATTGCTGTCGCGGTTTCGAGCGGCTACGATGGCGAGGACAATCTTGCGAGGATGTTGCTTGCTTCAGCGTGACGACATTCGGAGATGGAGTTTGGCTACTGCCTGGCTCTCACAAAACTATAGTTCGTGAACGGGGGAAACTAGTCACGCCGTCGTATCTTTAAAGCTCCAGACTCGCAATCCCAGGTCATCATCGTCATGTATGCAGACAGACGAATTCTCTCAATCCAGTCTCATGTGGTACACGGATACGCGGGGAACAGATGTGCTGTTCTCCCTCTGCAAGTGCTGGGATTCGAAGTGGATTTCATCAATTCTGTTCAATTTTCGAACCATACAGGTGAGACAATTATTGAAGGATTTCCACGCTCGGGGATGATCGAGGAACTCATGCCTCTCGGCATAAAATATCCTTCCGTTCCTCTTCGCAGGCTACCCACATATGACAGGAACGAAAGTGTCCGCGAAAGAGCTCGGTGATCTCTACGAAGGGCTGAAAGTCAACAATGTAGGTTTCCGGAGGATAGAACGCCTGATTCCGAGAACATTCTCGAGGATATGCTTGAGCATATAGTGGTGGCTGAAGCTTCGGAGGGCTGGTCTCACTCAGTCGAATTTTTCGCGCAGATAATTAGTTCTTCTCCGACTTGGTTTTGATACCTGTTTCCCTCGAACTCCCATCGTGTACGCCCGAAATTGGTGGCTTTAAGACTAGAATCGGTCCAACCCAATTTCAGATAGCCCAATACTCCCACGTACTCACAGGATACGTCGCGAGTGTGGATTTCATCCGGAAGCTGGCACTCATAGTCGGCGACCTGAAGAGTCGAAATCCGAACGCCATTTATCGTGAGTTTATCCGAGGAATCAGAGGTCCCAGGAGTCTTATTGACCGCGCGAGGAGACCTCGAAGTAATTCAACAAAAACTTCCATAAACCGACAGTTTGTGATCCCGTCCTCGGCGATAACGGCGAGTTCTACGTCCCACCGGAATTGACGGAAGAATATCGTAAGCTTCTGCTTCCTCTCTGCGACATCTTGACACCGAATCAATTCGAGCTCGGGGAACTCACCGGTATGGACGTCTCGACCGAATCGAACATATTGAAGGTAGCGAGTTTACAACGAACATTTCCCTCCTGAACCCTCATTTCGGTGAGCGGTTAGAGTTCTCGAATGGAGCCTTGATCCCGAGTTGATTTAAATGGATGTCTATTACAGGCGATTGATAAACTTCATGATATGGGCGTGCCCAAAATCACCGTTTCGTCTGCGGATTCTTCGCAAGGCCACTATATAACTTGTTTCGGATCCTGCAGGAAAGGTCGGTCTCACGTCATCTTGCACGAATATAGAATTTCAAACGAATCCGAGGAGCTTTCCGAATGATGTCCGTCGGAATAACTCCGTATCGTGTCCGCAGACAGGAGCCGATTCAAGCTGAATATCCCAAAACTGCCCGTTCAGCTGGTTGGAACCGGAGATCTGTTCGCGGCCACGACTTTGGCATGGAATACTCTGAGTGGATGTTTCGAAAGTGCTGTAAAGAACGCTGTTAACAGCGTTCACGTCGTCATAAAAGACACTATGGCCCACAGCGCGGAGTTGAAAGGTATTCGAGAGGAGTATTCCCCGTCTCACTGTGTCGACGACCCCGACGACAAAGATCTCTATTCGGGTTTTCTACAGTACGCATCGAAATGAATCCAAACCGAACTTCTTCCCCAGAGTCCAATCCCGATTTGCCGGAGTCTGCCTGCTCGGAGCTCCGACTTGTACAGAACCTATCGACGATAATGAAGCCGCCGGAGACCATCGCAGCAGCTAAGTTCTGAAATGGCGAAATTCGGTTCGGAAAACGGATATTGATGCTCGATCCCTGATTGGTATGAATGACGCGGTGCGATTGAAGACTCGACGACCTCCCCGAAACCCTAGATCTGCAGCGATCAGGAGCCGATAAAGATTGCGGAGAATGTACTGATCCTCCCGAAGATCGCCAACTATGTATGTTCGAAGCTTGGTCGTGACCCGAGACTGATAAAGGCAGAGACACGAGGAGTTTCTGGAGAAATAAGTTTCGTCGGGGCAGCACTCCCTCTTGCCGAAATCCTCGGTGCCTATGCCGTGTACTCCTCCGGTGCTTGTTGTAGTTTGGAGGCCGGATCTAGGAAAGATACAATAAATATTACCTGAATGGGCTCATCCAATATTTTTTGTGCATTCCGTCCGCGGACCTGATCCGAGGATCCTGCTATGGCACAGAGTTCTCCTCAGCGGTTGTTATGAGCATCCCCAAGTACAGAGGAGATCGAGCTGAGCTCTCGAAGACAACCGAGCATGCCCATCATGGACCGACTCCTCTCTTATGGGGGAAACATACCATGAACGATTCGGAAAATCTGGCAGGATCCCAGTCGAGTCCGGAAACTTCTTCAGGCTAAAGAGGCTTCATGCTTTGAGAATCCTCGGAGGCCTCGAGATGACTCTCGGTTTACCATACGACCTCTCATGGCACCGAGCTGGGATCGAGAGCGTCCGCTATCAAGTCCACCTTTCATTGCAACGGGAATATCTATTCGCGCTATGAATGTGCCACTCATTGATCCTCATTTTTTCTCCGCGTTCGCGGAATAGCAATCTCTCTGAGGAGTAGCTCTCCAGCCGGATAATGCTCGGTTCTCATTGAAGAACATGCTTCTCCATCCATAATGATTTCATTTTTATTGCTCCTCATTGCTTCCGACTTCTTTGTTTGATTCCGCTCGAAGCGCCCGCTTCGTCGAATCATGCGTTCATTCGCGACCAGTGCGCAGCCCCAGTCTGTCGAGACGAGAGGTCCGTCCGTTCGTCCGAACGACCGATCGTCGTGTGGTGCTGTGCGTGTGTGTGTGTCTGCTAGAGAGTAACCTTTCGACATATTCTCCCAGCGGCAGCGCTGGACTAAACTCCTTAAGTGTAATTTTTTCGCGTGTTCGGATCCCCAGTGCATACTTCCAGACATGTCGACACCAGCAAGACGGCGTCTCATGAGAGACTTCAAGAGGTGAGATGCTGCGATAAGTTTTTCCGGACCTTTCGACGAATTCAATGTGAATCTCAGAGAGGGAAGTTGAGAGCCTTCTTTCGATCGAGGTCCTGCCTGCCCAGTCATACTTCTTCCTTGAACGGGCAGGGTTCCTTATGGTGAGAGCCATGACATCGCGAAGCGATCGAGGAAATCGTGGATTTCGGAAGATTCGACTGCTGTCTCGACGAAATCCCGTCAGTATGCGTCATCATCGACTGCTTCAAACCCCGATCCAACATCTGGGGAGCTCGAGAGTGGGCGAGCTCTGGGAAAATACGACTTGCGTCGTGCTCCGTAAGGCTCACGAGTCCCTGTGCAAACAGATTCTGCTCGGCAATCGCATCCGATGTTGGCTCAGAGCTCGAGACAGTTGAATGTATGCCAACAGCCCAAGTCGCAGTGGGTAGGGCTAAAGACGAACGAAATGTCGCTATTGTGTTCAATGCGGAGTTTATTCCTCAAACCAATTGCTCGTTGCGTCACTTGAAAACGATGTCTCATCGCGACACGCGGAGATGCGAGCATGAGTTGCCGAGATAGAGGGAGATTGGTTCTCACACACGCATCCGCATTCATTTGTTGAGGAGAACGGTCTCATCATAAAGTATCGATCGCGCCTCAATTCACCGATGAAGTGATCCGAGGGGTGAGTTTCATGGGGTCAGTATCGAGCAGATAAGCTCGGTGAGAATGCACTCGGTTGCGTGCTTTCCAGAACTTTCTTGAAACATGACTCCCTACGCGAAGCTCCCACTCACACTTGAAAGATTATACCCACTCGCCGTCGAATATCGAGGTTTCGATGTTCACCAAGAGACAGGATTTCCGGCTTTCTCATGACGATTGTCCACTGCTCATAAGTGACCCCTTCGACGCTCATCGGAACAAAAGTTCCTTCGGCGGAACAGGTGACCACCCTGGTTGGCAGCTTGCTTCGTTAGCTCGCTGGTTGGCCCTTGCGACAGCTACTAAAATATGACGTCAAGGACATTCGACGCAGCGGCACTGGCGGCACTAGTGTTTGGCACTCGCTGCGATTTGTTTTCACTGGAGAAAGCGTCGGGTAAGCGAGATTCTGAAGCATTTCGCTAACGTACCCGATACGCGCATCACGAATCGACTTCCTCGGCCCTGAGTCTTCCATCTTCTGTGCGCTCTGTCCACCCTGATTGCGATGGCAGTAGTCGTAGGACTCTTGGGAGCGTAGATACTGGGATTCTGACCCCCTTACCGTATGAATCTTGTCGAGCCTCCGAGGAGTGGCTCCGATTGACCACAGTTCCCCTTAAGTACTCCGAAACCTCCACCGAGGAGAGCTCACCGCCTGACTCTTTTACTCGTCGACTCAGGTCTTGGAAGGAATCAAATTTTTCACTCGTTTCGCGCGTTGCAAGTGCTCCGGTGTTCCAGCCGTGTGTGGAGGCACGCTTTCCGATGACGATGGCGCAAGATGTGAGCGCTCTCAGTCGGCTGTGTTCGATTCAGTACGAGCCGAATCGCGATTTTTTCCCTACGTTTCCTCCCCATGAAAAACTTCGGAAGTCTGGTCGTGATTCCCCTGCTCGACTCGGTATCTCACAGCGCGCTGAGGATCATATTCCGAAGAATTCCATTCCAAGTATGAGGGTCCGTCTATCTCAGCCGTTGTGAGTATGTCCCTCCATCAATCGGGATCGCATCCCGTCTATCTACCCGCGGATTATTCTCGAGATTTGTCGAGTCCCCGGAGAGGATGCATCGCAGGGCAGTGATTCCCAACGCTCAAAAGATTCGCAATTCAATCGGCGTATCATTGGGTTCGGGGCTCTGTCTGCGGTTCAGTCGGTGGATTATGCTGCTGGCTCGTAAACGAGCAATTGCACTACGCTGCTCAAGAACAATCTATGTGGGCTGTTTTGAGTTGATGATTGGACTTAATTATATCTGACGGAGAGCAATGCTTTCGTCAGGAATTTTTGTCCTCAACTCGAGCGTTCATAACAATCGTAGTTGGCTCGACCGCTCGGGAGGCTATGGAGTAATTCGGGTGCCAAACTTCGGGTGCTGTGGAACCAACATAGCCCACAACGTAGTATCGGGCAAGGAAACAAGACAATCAGACGAATGAGTACAAGGGCATTCTTGCTCACAGAAGACAGGTATAAACAATGTCGAAGCCACAGAGCGTTTCGCAGCTCGGATCGCTAGCTTGCGTGACGTCATCGAGTCTCACCTTGAGGGCAAGACAGGCGATGTGCGCTGCTCGATTCTGGTTTGGTGGTATGGCGAGAATGAGACACGTACCTGGTAATGTCATACGGAAGAAGCGCACTCGATAGCGGATGCAGCAGGACGCGATCCTGATTCTGAGGTCTTGCGGGGCAACTTTCGCAGAATGGTCCGAAGCTGACTGAACCCACGGCCTCGCTGTATCTGCCCCATGAGTTGAGAATCCAAATCCAGGCTGTCAGTCTTCGATGAGACGCATGTCGTCGTCACGAGTCTCGGATATCTCTACCAACGGTGACTTTCGAGTCGTAGCGCCGCGGTTCCTCCCGAATCCAGCTGAGACACGATGAGCACACGAGGAGCAGGGAATCGATAACGCCTCTCGATGATATCAGATCCTGCGGTCAGCATTCGAAGCTGAGAAGGAGGGGGGGCGAAGATGGTCGTGCCGAGTCCCATTGCCTTGGAGTATTCATTTCGTACGGGAATGCGCGAATGTCTAAGAAAAATGCTGCGCTTTTCCCGCATTGTCTGATCGCGGTCCCCATTCTCTCATATCGTCTGTGGTGGTAAAACAAATTGAATTTTCGATTACAGATTGCAAGACGATCCCCCCTCGGGTGTCTCAGGGGCGCCCACGGACAACAACATAATGATCTGGAATGCCGTAATTTTCGGGCCGCACGACACACCCTTTGAGGACGGCACCTTCAAGTTAACTCTAGAGTTCACAGAAGAATACCCAAACAAGCCACCGACGGTTCGTTTCGTGTCAAAGATGTTCCATCCCAACGTCTACGCTGATGGAAGTATCTGTCTGGACATTCTACAGAATAGATGGAGTCCGACGTATGACGTATCTGCTATTCTTACCTCAATTCAGGTGGGTACCTATCCCTGCTCGCTATCCGCTCGTAGGCATGCTCGAAGCTTCCTCCGATCTAGGTTCTGATCTCATATATGTGGAAGGAAGCGATTCTCTTCCGATCCGCCTAATTAGTCCTCCCTCGTCGCTCCGGCGAAATTGACAAATCCCTATGAAAGCGTGCTGGATGGCTGACTCTCAGAGTTGTAGCTCGGGAAGGGTCCGCGGAACAGAAGTCTTTCCAGTTCGTATCCGAACTGAGGATCCATAAACACTGGTCACGGGTGTGAGCTCTATCAATTGGGACGAAAAGGGAATATTATCTCGGGCTCGTGCATTCACTCGATGTGTCGCTCGACAATTGTTCAACAGCACTGACAAGCGAATACTGTCGCTAGAGGTCAGTGACCTTTCCGGGACGGAAAGAAAGCACTTCATGCTTCCACGACCACCACGATTTGGGTCCGACGATCTGAATAGCTAGCGAGGTCTGGTACATGAGCTGCTTGTAGGTTCTTTCCTTGAGGCTTTTGCGCGGCATTCCTGAAGCTCGGCTTTGAGGAAATCATAGCGCGTCAGAGAGCGACTATCCAGAGAGCTGGACACAGGAGAGAAAAAAATCCTGAATCCGCTTGTAGTTCAGTACAATGTCAGACTTTCAGTTATTTCAGAGACCGATCCGTCCTAGATTTCACCCTGAGCGCTCCAAATGCGCGGGAGATCCTTTTACTCAAGTCCTCTGTTACATTTCAGTCGCTCCTGGATGAGCCGAACCCCAACAGTCCCGCGAACTCATTAGCGGCGCAACTGTACCAAGAGAATCGCCGAGAATACGAGAAGCGGGTCGAGGCAATAGTCGAGCAGTCGTGGCATAATTTTAATGATGAGGAGGACGCCAGCAACTCGAAAAAGGAACCTACCACCACCGGAGCTCAAGGCTCGGGAACTAGCAACTCCTAGGGTCAACTTCTAGAAGCAGCCACAACAAAACCGTAACAGCAGCAACCAACATTCGCAAAACAGACAGTTGAAACACAGAAACCACGAAATATCGATGAAACCGCAGACTAAAGGACGGAAAGAATTCGAAAGCGAGTCCCGAGGGAAACTGAAGCTCTATCCGATTGACACATTATATAAACAAACGAAGTAAGCCTTCGAGGGGCGACAACAGCAATTATAGTCTAGTATCCAAGACATTGAATCGGTTTGTCCCGATGACCGTCCATTAAAAGATTCGATTTGATGAAAGTACACCTCGGGATTTCCTTGGAGAGCCGAACAGCTCAGAAAATTTTCCCCAGCGAGCAAACGACAACCATTCACAGCAGGAAAATGTTGGAAGCGAATCCTTGTTTTTTTGAAAAGTATGATGCATATTAACATGCCAGACGCTGAAAGCATACTGGGATCGGAACGCCTTGGAAGTATCATCCAGAATAGAGCCGGAGACAATTGTCGGTAGGGAACGCGCAGCGCAGAGAATCTTCTGGGCACGTAGCTCCTTTCCTCAAATGTTTCTTCTTCGCCCTATTGAAATTTTTCCTCGAGACCTATAGGCCCGATAGCTTCCTCTGACTCCTCCCTCATCCTTTGGCGGAAAGCGTCTTCCCAATTTCTTCTGAAACCGCTACTCCAATCTCGGCAATTGAAGTACCTTAAGTTCGCCAGAGAGCAGCTACGGGATCGTCGTTCCGGAGCGCGGCGCACCAAATGCCGTTTCTGGGGAAGGAAAGGATTCGGGACTAAATCCTGGTAATCTTCGAGATGAGCTCCTCCCAGCGGCGATCCGATCCCTGGAAACACGAGTTTCTGGCTGATTGTAGTCTGTTGTAAATACATACACCTATGACTCACGGATGATGATCGATCTCTAAGCGGAAAACCTGATCAGCGGGACAGATCTGACGAGCCATATTCGATGTAGTCGCGCGGAAATGCGTAAAATCTGACCCTCTGTCCCGTACTCGCCTCGTTGCGCTGCACTGGTAACGTTTAGAGATCGATCGAATGTTCTTCTAATCTCTCGGGCTTGTTGGGTTTGATAACAGGCCCTTAGTTTCCTAGCGGGTCGGCGAATCCGAATTTCAACTTGAAACAGAAAGGAAGCGAATAAAAGAGAGGATAAGAATTTAGAAACCAAGTAATAACGTGGAAAAGCGAGAAGAACGCCTGAATCAAGCCACCGGAAACCATTTGACGCGAAGCATGATCGACTCGCAAATGGAGGAGGCGTTTCACCAAAACTTGTATAAAATAAAGAGCGTAAACAACATTTATTGTCAAATTCACCTGTGACTTTTCTCTCAGTGCTCCATCAGTCCATCTCAAATTGGTCAGCGTTTCCTGCAGCTCAATCGCGGATCGAATTCCTGCAGAGTTTTCTCCTCAACGATGAATTAGGCTAAGGAAATTATCACAGCTCCGGTCGACTCAGGTGGCCCCGACAAATCCCTCGCAGAGACGATCAGTCTCCGAGCAAATTTTTTTAAACCAGGGTGAAGCGCTTCGCTGACTTCTCTGATCGGAATACCGTTCAAGTCATGCTTCCATCGGATACCGGAGTGAGTTGATTCGACATCGCCTTCCAGGGGAGGGGACTAGCGAAGTTCTCATCTTCTCCGGGTAACGGGAGCTGACCATCGAAATCTTCACGAGATCAGAGACTCGACCGAGTCCATAGATCCCGGGAATCCAGCGTGAATCATTCGGTTGGTGCCTTCCTCGTATGACGGAACGAGGAGCCCCCGTTCCATGGCCTGCTTTCCATTATACGCATTCGAATCCGAGTCGAAGAAATATTGACCACCGCATGAGGTTTCCTCTCTTTTTTCCTCATCGATGAATGTCCGCGATCACCACAGGCGGAGTCAGCCTGGACTACCAACCTTTTTGAGGGGTCAAGTCGCGGGAATTTTCGCATCCGACAGGAGCGCTGGAGCACAACGAGCGAGCGACGCGCCATCTAGTGAGGGAAACGTCGCACGGCCGCCGGCCTCCCTAAACCGAAGCGCGATTTTTGGCGGAATCTCTATCAGCTGATGTTGTTCGAGCATTCGCTGTTCCGACGAGTGTTCTTATACGAGCCCTTTAGTTTCCTTTGTCGCAAGAAAATTTATTGTGACTCTGTGGATCTCGAATGATGCGCGCAAAAGTGCAGAATCGCTGACAGGTAAATAAGCGCTGCAGAATGTTCGGAGTTGAGCTCATCGAATGTCATCAGGAGCACGGAGGGAAAGAAACTTCCGGATATTTATCGGAATCTCTGAGGACATAACCATTCGGGATCCCTTCTACGATGATCTTCCACCATTGCAGCGATCTGAGGAGAATTATGAGCGCGCAGGTCGCATCGAACGGAAGAACACCGAGGGTTCGATCATGCAGGAAAAGATCATACATCGGAGACGATGACAGTTCGCCGGAAATCCGGGACTCGACTTCAAAGAAGTCGAAGCCTCCCACTGCGAAAACTCCACTGAAAAAGACTGCGAAGACCTCTAATGCAACGAATCCTGTGGAGACTCCACTCGGACGAAAGAACGGCCTGAAAACGCCAAAGAAAGTTGACACCAAGAGAAGTAATTTGTTCTTGTCTCTCTCGAGTGTTCTCCGGCCTGTTTCATGCGGGCTGTTCGGATTTGTGGACGTCCAAGGGCCGCTCATTACCTTGGGTGCTCAATTGACCGGAATTTTTACCATGTTGCAGCGAGAAAAAGCGTGGAAGAAGAACATAGCGTTCTCGTTGTGGAGGATTCCCCCATAGTGGTGACGAACGGCCACCAAAGCTCGGCGAGGACTGAGGAGGTTGTCACAGGAATAGACGACTGTACCTTCGAACAGAAGGATACATGGCCTCTGAAATATAGGTATGTGATCTCGAACGCGTCCAGTCCGAAATCTCCCAGGCCTGAAAGTCGCGATGCGATCGGACAGTCGGCACTTCCCTTCTGTTCCGGAGAGAGCTCCGGAAGAGTATCTACCCCTAGCTAAGACAAGATAAGTGAAGCTCGCGCTAGGAGTTGCACTCGCATTGCATTTTTCCAAGATTCACCTGGGTTTCTTCGCCGGCTGGAGCCCGGCAAGCGCGGAATTCCTCCGTGAAAGTGCTGTCATCCCTCTCCGGAAGCACTCTCTGGACTCGACGGAATGTGCCTGCGTGAGATCAGAGGGTATTGCACTCGGTCAAGCTGCCCGAATTCCGAATTCATGAATGGGAAACGAGAATCCTCGGTACCGAAGGACAGAGAAAGGTGCAAAAGGTGTCGGCCCTGCTCTTAGTCCCACAAACGACCTACGTCAACCCCTGAGGCTGGGGACCCGGAGACTCGAATTAAGACGGTTTTACCGCTTCCAGTCCTAGCATTTTCGGAAATTTTGTCGGTAACAGAAGCGCGGTGGAAAGGGTGGAGAGATGGTTGACCGAATGGAAAGTCGCCACGAAGAAGAGTGCCCTCAGAGACTCGGTAAGTGAACCGCTAGCACGGAATGTCAGGGACGCAGCCCCCTTCGAAGAATCGAGCTCGGAACTCATTCCGGCCCATCTTCAAATTCCACGTCCTCGGAGACTTCCGTGTAACCATCGTTTTTGGATTGAACAGGGATCGAGCGCATCGGACAGTTTACAAGGCGAAGCGTCGTCAAGCGCGTTATTCATCAAGGGCCCTCCAGGCGTCGGGAAAACTTCTCTCGTGTATTACCTAGCGAAGCGTTCGGGATTCACGGTAAGTCAGAGCCTCTCGGTGAGACATCGCGGTGACCGGGTGTCGATGACGTCTCCAATCATCCGGCTGCATTGCGTTCTAGGTACTTGAAGTGAACTCCTCGTCGGAAAGACCCGGGAAGCGAGTGTTAGCAGATCTGCAGGAGGCTACGCAAAGCCAGCACGTGAAAGGCACCAAAGTCGCGGAGGGAGGAATAAACTCCTTCTTCAAGCCAACATTGACACCATGCGCGAACCCACAGACCCCGGTCGCGCAATCCGGTTCTTCGAAGAACCGTAAAAAGCTCAAAAACGCCGTCACGGTGAAAGAAAAGAGAGGAACGTTGAAGAGCTTCTTCAACTCGGTCACGCCCAAGTCCGGTATCGAGGAAGTTCCCACGCAAAGTATCGCCGTAGAGGAGCCGGCGGTCGAAGAAAAAATCTCGAGATCATCGATAAAGGCATTCTTCGCAGCTGAGAAGAAGAGTTCGGCCAAATGCGCATCGGAGAGCCCAGAAATCCTCACTACGTACCGGCAATCGAGCGCCGCGAATGCCGCGGACGGCAGTATCAAGTGTTCCAGTTCGACCATTATACTTTTTGACGATGTCGACGTGATTTTCGATGACGACGGAGATGAAGGCTTCTGGATGGCTTTGGAGACCGTTCTGAAGAGCTCGAAGATCCCGTGTATACTCACCGCGACGCGGGGCTATGAAGGGGTGGTGAAACGATGCAAGTCTCTCCAGAATGCACTTCTAGTCGAACTTCATCGACCGAGTCCATCCCACGTCGCGTCATTGATAAGCAACATCTGCGCCGTAGAGAACAGAGATCTGACAGACTACAATGTGGAGTTTATGTGTCAATATTTGGCATCGGACGTTCGACGGTCGTTGATTCAAATGGAATTCGAGACCGTATCATCGGGCTTACTCCAAACCGTGTACCCTGCAAACAAAACGATCGGAGGCCTTGTGACATCAGGGTAAGAACTCCTCGCTTTAGCATAGCTCAAGACACGGGGAGAAATGAAGGATAGAAATGAGTCATATCATATTGATGGTTTCTTCCCGAGTGGAGCTTAAAACCGATCTCTTTCCAGCTCTACTGAAGACGCTCTCGAGATTCACATCGCCTTCAAGAAAGTGGGATTCAACGCTCTGTATGCCTCTCTGGAGGATTGTCTCCCATTTGAATTCGATGACGTGATGCTCGATACGAGCAACGGCGCGACTTTGCCGGATAAGACTCTCAAACGACCCACGGAATTCGTGTCGGCTACAGTGAAGGACTTCGCTCGTATCTTCGACGAGTTCTCGACGAATGACTTATTCCTGGGGTGTCTGAAACGAATGGGGGAGGAGTGCTTACCGTCCTACGAGAGGTTTGTTTGCCGTCTAAGCTACGCTGAGTGTCTCACTGAATATATTCTCCCGACAGGACGACTATTGTCGACAATTCGACGGCTACGCCTGGGAACTTGGGTGGTGAAAACTGAAAACATATCATTCACTGCTCGTCATCCCGATTGCAGAGCAAAAAGATGGATGAAACAGCATCCTGTGGACAACCAGGAGACGAGCCAACGGGTCGTGGAGGATTTGCTTGAATTGAGTTCCGTGGTTCTCCTAGGGAAAACGAGCGTTTCGCTGAACCGAATCTCTGAGAGGTGAGTCTGCTGCGCACTTCGTCCCCGCTCTACTCCGAGCAAGATCATCGAAAACCTTACCGTCATATTTCGCGATATCGATCTCTGCTCGCAAAAGTCCGTCGTCGAGTCGCAAATCATCGGAGTTTCACCCGTCATCTCCTCTGCGTTGAATCGATGCGCATCTCTCAGTGCACAGAGCCGATTCCTAGAAAATCAAAACAATCATTTTCGTGCAGATTCGCTGCTCTGGATGTCAACGAGCAGTCAGAGCATCGATTGTGCAGGGTTGCAAACTCTCTCGGATTCCGGGACATTCACAAGCAGCTGAAGAAGGTTTGTTTCTCTTTCCGTTCATGGACGGTCTCATGTCGACCCGAGATCTAATCAGCCTCGATCGATCCACAGGTTCGAATGTCCGAGAACTGTTTGGATGACGTCCTTCAACATTTCCCCATCCGACACAGCACGGGTCTCACTTACCTCGACTACCTCAAAGCCATGTGCTGCGCCGAGAATGAGAAACGGGAGAAGAGTCGACGAGGCAATCGTCTCAGTCACTATCTATCGAATATTGGGGTCTATTTCTCACCAGAGCAGCTGACGCGAATTTCCGCATTTTGGTCTTGACGCTAGACTGTCCTAAGCAGAACTAATGTTAAGCCGTAGTCCCCGTATGTGCTCGATGCCTATCAGGCCGAATCTGTCGGTTGACCGCCTTTTTTCCTGTAGTGCGTGACCCTTAGAAAGGATTATTTGTATGTAGAGAGCGACAGAGAGTCAGATATTCCCTTTTGAATTCGAAATACGAACTGACGTATCATTTGTTCATAGTTGCTCGAACAGGAAAGTTGAGTCATAGGGTTCATAGATACTTATGATGTCGAAGAATTCGTACGACATGGGGATGCACACATTTATTACATGCCGGGATCATCCCCGGGAAAGCACGGATGACAGGCTCACTCTAATTCCTCGTCTGTATCCGCTCCACACAGAGCGCATAGATCAGCTTGCATCGAGAACCTACAAGAGATAGCCCTCGCGCATGAGCATTTCTCCCGACGACGCATTCATTGGTGGCAAAGACGTCAATTATATCGACAGCGCCTTGTTTGCTGACGATTGAAACAGGGAAGATCTGCGTGTAGCATTTCGGCAATAAATGAGATGGTTGATCCCTGGCGAATCGTTCCCTGGCTCATACTCAAGGGCATGACGGAAGGAATTCAGGCTCGAATGGAGCGACCATCGGGGATCATCCCCGAAATCGATGAGGAACTTGAATCAGTATGATCGAGATCCAGGAGGTCTTTCCGAGCGGTGGATAACACAGTTAGAGACCGCGACTGAGGCGGGGGAGACCTCGCTTGAGCTGCGCAATCGCAATGCGATGCGCTTCCGAGTCTCCGAGATCTGAGTACGGATATCGTGGAGGATACGTCCTGAGCCGGAGCGAATCTTCCCGTACGTGTTCGGCTGGTTTTTTGTCCGCTCTATCGGCTACATGCACGGCTCGTTCGCCCGCCGGAGCTTCCGGACCATGCCTCCGATGTGGAGGGTAGGCTCTGCTTGCGTAGGTTCACGGACCCATTATTTATCCGTCTCCATTCTAGTACTTATTAGACGAAAATGTCCGAGGCGAAACTACTCATTCCCGGGATCTCTGTGGATTTCATGTTCATCCGGATGATATCAGATCATCGCGCTCGATCATGTGCCATAGCCTTGGGGACTCGTTCAACGTTCAGCAAAGATCATCCTCATCATTGCCTTCACTCTCCCGCCGACAGATTACAATTTTGTTGAGTTTTACCTCGCGTTCTTTCAGACCGCTATTCCCCTAAGATTCCGTATTCGCTATTGTGCATTATCTCCATCACAAGTGTGAGTCGTTCAGAGAGATCGCCGCACAATTAAGGAGCCATTAGAGCCGAACTTGACGTCTTGTTAGCTGTGCAGCTCGCAGAAAGCTTCTGCTGATCGGCGAGAAGGAACTTCTGTGCACGGACGCGGAGACAGTCGAGAGATTCGATTTCTCAAACATCCACCCTTCGTGGTAGAGCTGGTGGGGCCTAGTTGGTGGTTTGTATTCTCGGAGGCTGCTTGGAAGTTCTGGAAGCTCCGACCATCCAGCACAGACAATGAGTAATCCAGAATCAGGAGAGGTGAGTGCCGAAACTTGTCCCGTAGGGAAGTCCTTGCGGATCGTTTGGGCGGAGTGCCAGCGAAAAGTCTCCAGCACTGCGAAGCGGTCGCGGTCTGGGAGCGTGTTCAGCACTCCGGATATTCTTCGTGACGCTACGGAGGAATGCTCCCGGTTTCTTCATCGATAGCGTACGGAAAAGACCGTTGAGCGGTTTTCACCGGTTTTCGGGAGGCGCTCCCAACGCTCTGGGGCAGGCACGTTTCCCGTAGACGGAAAATCGCGTAAATATCAACGGTCGTCCCCCTTTGATGGGGACGCATGTGGAATCAAAGGGGGAGGGAGCGTGCTTCTCGTGGAGTGAGTTCCCCAGGAAAAAAAACAGGAAAACATCTGCAATGCACTGCCCCCTCCATTCGAGTGAACTACTCTCACATTCTCAGCACAGGGGTTGTGAATCTTTAGATTGGGTCCCTGCAGTACATCTATGGGGGAAAGCTGCGTGGGAGCGTACTCCTTGGAGTATTTCTGAACTCCGGAATCCGAGCATCGACGGTTCTTCACTCTAAGCCACTCACTTCTATACTGCCGTATGCTCGAGAGAATCTCCAATCCACATGGGACCTGTGTCCGTATGAGCTAGCTCCGTGATCCTAATCCCGAGTCTTCCTCCCATTGCAGAACCAGGGCGGACCTTCTAGTTCATCGGAGCACAAGGAGTTCATCAAGCTCAAAGTCAAGGGTCAAGAGGGCGACGAAATCCATTTTCGATTGAAGATGACAACTCCCTTCAGTGAGTGAATTTTTTTGGAGACGCAGCATGTTTCTCAACGTCATCGGTCGCCTCTCAAGTTTTCCATCTCAAAATGTTCATATGAAATTTCTTTGCTTCAACGAATCGATGAATTCGCCTACGTTTAGACCACTGATGACATCCGATAATGGTGATGACGACACCGTTTCCGAGAGGGGCCAGAGCGAACGAGGCCGATGTCTTGGGGTCTCATCGGGTTCCTCCGAGGAAGGTTGAATGCATTGGATCTTTTCCCCAGGTAAAATCAAGAAGAACTACGCCGAGAGAGTAGGCGTGGCTGCTGGCTCGATACGACTGATCTTCGACGGAAACCCCGTCTCTGACAGCGACACACCGCGGAACCTGTCTCTCGAAGACGACGATATCATTGAAGCTTTTGTGGAGCAGACTGGGGGCATGCTTCCCGGGCTGTCGGCATGCTAATCCAAGTAAACCGAGGTCAAGATATCGACGAATCATACTTTCCCGTGGCTCTTGTCACACGTAACTGGATGTAAATTGACCAAGCGAAGGAGCGTAAAGAGCTCTGAGAGACCAACTCCACCTGTAAACAACTCTCAGCGAGCAGGACATGTAATATAGACTGATGTACATAATGAATACACGAACATCGAGAGGTCTTTTCTGTGTCACTATGTTCAGTTTAATTTACATATTTACATATACAAACGGATCATTCAATGGGGGCTCGGAATCGAGTAAGGCAACTCAGTTCGAGACCGCAGCCCCCTTTCGTCAACCGGACCCGTGACATCTCGTGGCACAATGCGCGACCGCCCGACTTGAGGCGTCGTCTGGGAAAAATAGACTTCCAGGCCCATCGAGTGATAAAAATACTTCCGGAGAATAGTCAGGTGTGAAGAGTTCGTCGGGTCAGATTCTCAGCTTCGGAACTCCGAAAATATCTTGGTGGTATGAAATGTATTCGAACCTAATCGTTCATGAGGAATCCGAGGTTTCCCATATGATCTCGAAGTCTGACCACTATCGTCAGAGTGCGTCATGTTCATAGATGCAAGAGGTAAAAACAAGTGATAAGATAAGCCAAAATGACTCTCTCCGATCCCGCGCCCATCCGGGCCTGTTATTTCAAATCAATCCATTGAGAACTCCCTGGAAGTCAAATCCATTAGAGATGCCTGAACCCCTGATGTCTCTCAACTGGTCCGAGAGATCCTCAACTGGATGCAATCTGGCATAATTCTTGATGCAATGCTCACCTGGGCAGGAAAGACGGAACGGCACAGCCCCAAGCGACGACGGGGACCTTCTCACTGATTTCCACAGCCTGCAGTCGACTCCCAGACGGGAACAGAGTCAGGACAGGATCTTTCAGAGGAGCCGTCTGTGTCGCGCCGCGGGATTGTTTCCGTCGCGCTCGCTCGAACCTGGAACGACAAATCGAAGCGATCCGATGAGTACCGAGAATAGGAACCGCAGATTCAGAACTCAAATAGTGTAGCTCTTTCCTGGCAAGCTCGAAGAGCTCAACTGACCGTTTCTGCTCCGACATCCACTGTCGGTCCCACTTTTTCCTCCGACGCTCTTCGGTCTCCAATTTAAGATGTCGTCTCAAATAGGTTTCGTCACTCGTAACCTGTAAATGGCAGAATATCAGAAGCTGTGCCATCAGGAAGTTGAAGCCGAGATTCCTCAGGTTTGCAAGGATTTCCGAATCGCGTACCTCTTCACAATCTCGTTTCGGAATACTTTGGCTCGGAATGGGAAGCACTCTCCAGGACGGAACTTCAACGTTTCCGGTCGCTTCTTGGCTTTCTGAGGTTTCGGAGGGTCTTTGATAGAGCGAATAGGCTGAGGTCATCAAGGGAGTTTCGTGGTCTTCGACTTCCAGTTTCGAGACAGCGGAGTTTGTCCGCATCGGCTTCCTTAATAAAAAGTCTGCCTTGAGCGAGCTCACCAGTGTTTCCAATCATGGCATTAACCTTTGCCGGCCCATGCCTGAATGCAGAGTGCACCGAGAATTCGGGAATGAGCTATGTCTTACCTCGTTTTTTTGTCGTCGGTTCCGCTTCGCTTTCGGTGTGGTACAATGTTCTGAGGGGGCACAAACTCTTTATATTTGGCTTCGATCTCAGCGAGACGACTCTGGAGAGCTTCGTTCTGCTTCCGTAGCTCTTCGATTTCTGCGTCTTTCTGACGTATGATGTCGTCTTTCGACGGCGTATTGCATTTTGGTCCATTCTTTGGCAGGCTGGCGGGCCCCGGGGTCCTATGTTTTGCGTCCGCATTTTCCGTCGTGGCTAAACTGTGTCGCAACTTCCTTGGAGTTATCCCTATCGACTCTATGATGTTCGAATCGGACAGCATGTCGAGTTCGGTGCGGCGCTTTTTGACCACGATTGAAGACATCCTGCTCACATGTATAGGAAGCTTTGGTTTCGTTGGAGCTTGGCCCATTATTTCAAGCGGCCTCATCACCCGGTTCCCATGTTCCCTGAATCAAGGAATGTAAATTGTCACTGACTAGACTGTCGTTGGACCTGGCTCGAGGAAGGCACTTCGCCTTCATGGACTTGACTGGAGATATCTCCGAATCGAAAAAAGCGCTCTGCGGTTGGTTCGACGATGATGTCCCAACAAAAGCATTGATAGAGGAGAGCCCTCTACAAACTGTTGTACGGACTCCACTCTGGTGTTTGGAGAGGGGATACCCCCGATATGAGTCATGTTGAGAAAGTAGCGAGTTTCATTCAACCACAAAATCGAGACCACGGATTCATGTTTGGCTCAGGGCTCCGAAGAAGCTCGCCAGATCAGAGCTCCGAAAATCATCGCAGAAACTCCGAGGCGAAAGCTCAGCGGCAGGAGAGAAAAACGCGGGATCTCACACCAGCGTTCGAAAACCGGGCTCAGAATCTCACGGGCGGGAATAGAAAACAATGCGTGTGCTGGATGCTTTCCCACTCACCTCATCAAGGGTAGAAATCCCGTGTGCCCTCAGAGTCATCCGACCTGAGACAGTCTGTAGTTGGGGTTCACAATGATCTCGATTCAGAAAATCTTGCAAATAGAAGAGGAGAAGTAAGCACAGCGATATTCAACATGGCGGTTGTTGTTGCTTGACTGGTCTGGGATATGAGGCTGGGGTGTCTTCTACACTCTACTGTTGCTGTTTATCGCTACTCTCTCCACGTGTTCTCGCCTCTGCATCGACGGCGCGCAAATGTATTTTGAATGGCAATACTTTCACGGTGGCTTCCATAAGGTCCACAAAGACCGAAGTCCTCTCCACACGTGGCTTCGCACCCGTTCAATCAATTCGGTCCTGATCAAATCATCCCGAGAAGAACCGCAGAGCCTGTTTCGCTAAGCGTCAGAGGAATTTCTCTGATCTCCACATGTATGCTTTGGAAGCTAATTTTCCCAAATCCGTGGAAGACCTACGATCAGAGCCAGAGACATCACGAGAGCGCGGTCAGGTTCCTCGCTCCGAGAATCCATCCCGAAATTGGCTCAATGGCAGATCGTTTCAAAGCTTTACTCGAGCCCCTTCCTCGATCTTCACACCCGAATAGTCGGCGTCGACATTCGGAGAACCTGGCCCGGACATGACTCATTCTGGTGCTTGTGCTCCGAAATTGGGGAAGGAGCCACTGAGGTTCGCAGGGGGTGCGGGCTGGATTAAGGATTCACTTCTGGAATCGTGAGAAGGCCCCCACAACCATCATCGTGACCTCCCGCAGCACGAAAGCCCGGGTCGGGGAGCAGGTCTGATCTTCACATAGACTGGAGACCATCGCGTCAACCCGCATGTTTGAAGCCTTTGCTTCGGCTTCCTTCTTGCCAACCACCCCACCTGCCCCGACAACCACGCCTCCACCAAGTTATGGTGAAGGCAGTGCGATCATCCTTCAGACCACAGACGAACTCATCGATGAGCCCATCCCGGTCGCCGTTCGGGAGGCTGTACTGGTTCCTGCCGTACCTCCGCCAGTCGTGTCTGTCGCACTCGGGGTCCCTGTCGGCCCGACGCCAGTCGTTGTCGTTCTCCTTCTACCTCCGCCCGTGATACACGTCGCGCCAGCGCGCGTCCTCCCGTCGTTCCCGCCATCCTCGTTGTACTAGCAGCAGTCCCTGCGGTGGTAGAGCAACCTGTCATCGGAGACATTCAAATCGCAGGAGTTCTTCCCAGATTCTCGGCATCGTATACTCGAGTCCCCCCCTCGGCCCCCCTCGAAGATCTCCTTGAATTCTCGCAGCATTAGAGGACGGATCATCGATGACCATCATTTCCATAAACGAGCTTCGCATACGAACGGCATCCTGCGAAATCATCTGAGCCAGTGAAGCAGCCGAATCGCATCATATTCTGGTTCCGGCTGGATCCACCGAGAGCCGAGTTTGAGAATGAACCATGCTCCCCGGATAGATCTTTTTCGAGAGAGTTTCTGCTTCGTCACAGCTCGGAGGAGGATGAATATTGGCATGATGAGAAGTAGGCCCAACCAAAGAGAGCAGAACATCGGTATAGAAGTAGACTAGTGATGGCTCCGATAAAATTCCTCGGAAGACCATCAGTGAGCTCATTCTCCAAAAAAGGAGCCTCCCTAAATATCGGGACAGATTTAGAATGACGCCGTCGGCGTAGCAAGGAGGAGTGATGGAGTCGCCTCTACTCCCGTCCATGATCCACACCACACAAGTTCGATTCTACGAATCGAGCCTCTGCACAGCAGCGGCAAGCTGTGCCGAGGATCCGCGGGTCCCGCATCGTCATCGGGTTGGCAGCATTTCGGGTCGACAACTCACATATCTTTGACAGAATCGGAAGCCCACTCCCGACACGACTCGTCCTGGTTATCCTGCTGAATCGACGGCGCAACAAAGTCCGCGCCGAAGGCAATACTAACTCGAAGGCGGTGACTGCCCGAGGTTTTGAGAACGGTCTCGTAATCGCGTCCGGGTATTCCGCTGTCGGGCGACGCAGGTCCGGGAGCGAGAGCAATCCTCATATAGCATGCGGAAAATCACACCTCGAAGCGAACCGACGATGATTACCAGCGATGCAGAGTTCGAGCAGCGGAATGGGCGCGAACGAACTCAATGCAATGAATCGCTCCCTCCTTACACGAATCTCCGACAATCCTATCCATTTGGGGGTTCGGGAGTTTTCTCCAACGAAAATTTCCATGGAGAGGACCCGGCGAACCCAATTCGGCGACACTCAAGACCCCGGAAACTTATCGCCTTCCAATGATATTACATAGTTGATGGAAATGACCCCAAGTGATTTTCACGAGTCAATGAGTTTTCATATCGGGGGAAAAACAAGTTCGGAGCGACTCGAGTGCTCTCGAACATTAGGTCCGGAATCAAAGCTCGGACTAGTTGATCGGCGCAGTCGTGGCGACGAGGTTCGGATGACCATTATCTCGAAAGCCCACAACCGTCCTGGGCCTCACAGAAGAGTCCGAAGGACTTTCAAAACAGTTTGTTGTCGATCAGAATTGAGATCGAGAGATTCACGACTCTGTGTATCCCTTGGATCATGAATTTCGTAAGCTCCTTCAGCTTGGAAGTTCTGAGATCGGGTATCCGTCCTCGAGCGAGGGGCTCCATGAGTTCAAGGTGTGGGGTCCGGGTCACGCGGCCGGGTCTACTCGACTAAGCCCGTTCTCTCCCATGCTTCTTTCCCACGAAGGCGGTATATAACAACACCCGAGCTCCCAACTGAGTACACTAGTCGCTCCGCCCTCAATCACATCCGATTCCTCGTGCTATTCGATCTCTGATCTGGAAAAAGACAGGAAAAATGAAGACCATTGCGTTGATCTGTATGTTCGCAGCCGCAGCTTCAGGTTCCTTCATTCATATGACCACGCCTGCACCCCTGACCACACCTCCACCGAACTACAGGAGAGGCCCTTCGATCATCCTCCAGAACACGAACAAAGTTGTCGACGAGCCCGCCCTCCCACCAGCTGCCCTCCCACCAGCTGCCCTCCCGGAAGCTGAAGTGCTTCTTCCACCCGTGGCTCCTCTCTTGCCTCCTCCCGTCGTTCCCGTCGCACCAGCGCCAATCGCCCCTCTCGCTGTGCTCCTACCGCCAGTGGCTCCCGTGGTGGTGAAACAGCCCGTGTTAGAAGATATTCAGATCGCAGGAGTTATTCACTAAATCACCGGACGAATAAAATGAGCTGAACTTGAAAAATGAATGAATGAATTTTCCACAATCGTTGCTCTATGCGACAAAGGAATTCTCAATCCCAATGCAGAAGGTCCAAGCAGAGATATAGGTCGATCTCAGAAGGTGGAAGAAGTCGATCGAAGACCCATGGAGTTTTGGAACTGCCGAGGAATCTCCGAGGGTCCCTTGCGGGTGAATCCAAGGCCCCGGTGTCGCCCCCAGATATTCAATCATGCCGCCCTCTTCCCCGCTGACGCCTATATGCGGAACGTACCCCTGCAACAGCATTGTAAGATCTCGATACCGGAGCACACATCTTCGCCTCAATGCGAGGTCTTCTCATTAGTCGGTACTCTTCATTCAACCTTGTGCTTGTCAGGGAATTCCCTGTATCGCATTCCGGAACCAGAGCCGAATCCTTGGGGAATTATTCTTTCAATATTTCAGCGAGTGGATTTCCTTTAGGGTAACGTTCTTCACCGAAGGTTCGAAGAATTCCTGTCATCACAAGCAGCGAGCCCAAACGAGGAAAGCGTGAACTGTAGGAGAAGATTATTTCCATAGGAGGCTCCAGTCGCTCCGTTTTCCACAGAAAAGGCTTTCGAATCACCCCCAATACCGAGACTTCCCCAGACTGCGCTTTCATTGGCGGAGGGTAGCAGCGTCCTCGTCGAACGTTTGGATAATTGATTCTTTGGATCGAGCCTCAGTTGGTCTTTGACCGGGTCGAGGAACCTCCCGAGGCGGTGACCCGGAATTCCTGATTCTCCGATGGGGGCGACGTTGTGGGACCAGGCTCTCGAAGATTATTATCGATTCGCTGCAAGGCAAAACTCGCTCGCGGTCAGTTCGCGAATCGTTCGAATCTCCGCGCCGTCCATGATCGCAGATTAAGGCTCATGTCGGCAATCGGCTCTCGGACCCCAGTCGGACCCTCAGCTCGGAATTTTCAGCGGATCGAAACCGCTCTGCTCTCAATGGAGCCTCCTTTCGCCGTGGGATCGGCGAGCATCGGAATTTCATCTCTCCATTTCCACAATGGGTGGCGGAGAGCTTTCAGCTTTATCCCGACAATCGTCCAACAAGCGGGTCCACGGGCCTCGTGACATGACCAGTTCCCTGAATGGACAACTCACGGTGGACAGAATCGTGGAAGGAACAGATGGCTCATCTGGCTCCAGAAAGATAGCTGTACTGGAGTCGGCGGCGGGACCAACCTTGAAGTGAGCGACGATCCTGTCGCCGAAACCTTTTTCCTCCTCTTGAAAGCCCTGTCGTGTCTCAGCGTGCGGCAAGGTACCTCCGCTACCGACCCTTCGACATTTTCGGGTCGAAATATAAAAAGCTTCATCCGTACCGAGAAAACCTTCTTGATGTCTTTCCAACGATATCCGAATAATCGTTTCCATCATTTCTGCCAAGGAAAAGACGATGTCCGCGCGGACACCGTGACGGAAATCGGACGTCCAAAGCGTGTACTGCATTTCATGTTGGTGACCCGTTCCATAGAGTAGATTCAAATCTCAAACTATCCGCCCTATAAGCGAAACTCTCCTGGACTTCAGTATACATAACCGCATAATAAATGAATTCCTAATCGAAATCAGAGCTATTCCTTTGAAAATTCCGGAGAACAGATATTCTCCGGGGAGCTCTGAGCGGGGAGCGGGGAAAACGGACGGAAATATCTCCCTTATATAGAGTGCAAAAATAAGGAGCTGATCACGCTCCCAAATGCTTCTACGAACCATCCACGGTAGGCTATCGGAATCACGTCATATCTACACGAGATGTCCTCATGGGTACATCGTTTCCCGACTACCTCACTAATACCCAATCTTCAGGATTCGTGCATCGGTCATTTCAACGAATGACTCCCATATGATTTCGTATTTTCGCCTCAACATCCGATTGACAGTGGATCCGTAGTGCGGAGCAAACTGAGAATCCTTACTGGAAAGTCCCGAATCTTCACTGAGACCAGTCGATCGGCGCGGTCGTGTTGGAGCGACACCGACGACTCCCCGGACAAAATCCCCTCGAGTGTTCGGAACCGTTATGGGTCTCGCACGATAAGAACATCGGTCGAAATAATCTCTTGAAGAACTCGAGGGTCGTATCCAAGAGCAGATCAGAACAAGTCCGTCAAACTCTCCGAGACTGTTCACCGGAGGCTTCTACAGCTCGGAAATTAGGCATCCGTCCCATCCCGAAGAGACCCCATGAGTTCAAGGTGTGCGGTCCGGGTCATGCGGCCGGGTCTATTCGCCCAAGCCCGACCTCTCCCAGGCCTCTTGCCCATGACGGAGGTATATAACAACACCCGAGCTCACGATCGAGTACACTAGTCGCCCTGCCTTCAATCACATTCGATTCCTCGTGATCTCTGATCTGAAATACGACAGGAAAAATGAAGACCATTGCATTGATCTGCGTGTTCGCAGCCGTGACTTTGGGCTCCTTCTTGCCAACGACCACAGCCGCCCCGACAACCACACCGCCACCCACACCGCCACCGAACCACGGGCGAGGCAGTTCGATTATCCTTCAGAACACGAACAAAGTTGTCGACGAGCCCGTGGTCCCACCAGTTGCCCTTCCGGAAGCTGCACTGCTTCCTCTGGCGCCTCCTCCCGTGGCTCCTCTGGCGCCTCCTCCCGTGGCTCCTCTGGCGCCCCCTCCCGTGGCTCCTGTGTTGCCTCTCCCCGTCGCTCCCGTCGCACCGGCGCCTGCGCCCATCGTTCCTGTCGCTCCAGCGCCCATTGCTCCTCTCGTTGTGGTCCTGCCGCCAGTGGCTCCCGTGGTGGTGAAACAGCCCGTTATAGAAGATGTTCAGATCGCAGGAGTATTTACTAATTCACAATGAGCAACCGAACGAATAAAATAAGCTGAATCGTTGAAGAAAACAGACGCCTCTTCCTCTCATCCTAAAAGTTCTCATCAATTATAAGACCGAACTTCTGCGAATTCTCTGCGATCGTTGGTCAATGCGACACTGGAATTCTTCACCCTCCTGCAAAAGCTTCATGCAAAGATTTAGGTCGCACAGATTGTTCTCGGAAGAAGGAGTAAATCGATCCTCGAGCCTCCGAGTTTCGGGAACGGCCACGGAGCTCTCACGGATTTATCGCAGATGATTCCTAGGCCCCATGTATTCCCCAGATATTGTGTCGTACCGTCCTGTTCGTCGTAGAGACCTGATTGCGGAACGTCTCCTCATTACGGCAGTCTTCTACAACGCCAATCTTCTCGCCTCAATTCTGATTGGACCGTGCTCAGGCTTCAGTCCCGTTGAGCAACGGAACTCTACTACGGGGACAATTGAAAGGAGCTCGTCACGATCCTCGAATGATCGATCGAAGCCCCGGAGCTTGCTCCTATACTCACGTCATGTCTGCGAGGTATGTCTTCAACGTCCGTGCCTATATCGATCCTCGAGAATTCTGATCATTTCGAGCAGTGATTCCACACATGACTTCTGATCTTCACTACCGCTTCCGATAGATGGGCTGTGAAGCGAGCTGAGCACTCTCGATGAGGCGACTCGAGTCTGTGCAGCGAGCAGTCGACCGCAGGGACGACAAATGGTGCGAGAAACCCGAAATCAGGCGGACTGAGTTCAAGTCCGGAATCCATTCTTTTGGTGGCCAAACTCGCTCATCGAGGTCCCGGATTCGGGAAGCGGAAGTCTTCCTTAAAGGTTTTGATCCATAGTGTCGAAGGGAGCAACTGGATAGGCCTTGAGAACAGCTCTCGAATCAAATGTTGTCGATTGCCGACTTCCCCCCACGAAACTTGCAGAATTGTACATCTTTGGAGTGGAACCTCACTGGTGAGCTCGACTAGGCACGAGATCATGATTAATCTCTGATTCCGAGGCAGTTGAACTTCTCCGGTGTAAAGTACTGGACTCACGAAAAATGTAGTTTCCCACAATTTTCGGCGGTGTAGACAGTCCCGGAAGGCTGAAAATCTTCGTCCGTCTCACCCTTCCCATTCCAACTATTAGACCCCTGCGAATTCGTTGCGCTCCCGAACTTCGGAATTTTCTCGCAAATGGACATACACCCAACTCTCATGGCACGATTTTTTCGAAGATTGGCGGGCTAGCCGGAGTAGCCGGGAACTCCATACTCTCGAGGATCTCTTGTCGGCTCGAGTGTACCTCCACAGAGTGAGAATCAAGGACTTAGCGGAATCGAAGCGATCTCTAAAAAGATAACCTTCGGGAATCTGCTCAAGATGCCGAAAATTTCATCGAGCACGTGCGCTATCCCCGGAGCAGTACGCTGAGTTATTGAATCGGAACTCCCGGGGGCTCTCGATGCACTCAGACGTCGAAGAGTCTTCGTCGCAAACTTCTAGGGTTGGCTCATCTGGCTCCAGAAAGACAGCGGTACCGGAGTCGGCGGCGGAATCGACCTTGAAGTGAGCGACGATCCTGTCGCCGGAACACATTTCCTCCTCTTGAAGGGCCCATCGTCCCACAGCGTGCGGCAAGGTACCTCCGCTACCGCGGCTTCGACACTTTCGGGTCGAAATATATGTGGCTTCATCCGTACCGAGAAATCCTTGTTGATGTCTTTCCCACGATATCCGAATAATCGTTTCCATCATTTCTGCCAAGGAAGAGACGATGTCCGCGCGGACACCGTGACGAAAATCGGACGTCCAAAGCGGGTCCTGCATTCCATGCTGGTGACCCGTTCCATAGAGGTGATCCAAATCTCAAGCTATCCGCCCTATGAGCGAAACTCGCCTGGAATTCAGTATACATAACCGATCGTTCACAGTGGAGCTCGATGAGGAGAACGTTACCGATCAAATCCTCGGCTTATGCTCGCGCCGTAGGAACTTCGAACTTGAACGGAGAAAAATGAATTCCTAATCGAAATCAGTGCTAATCCTTTGAAAATTCCGGAGAACAGATATTCTCCGATTCTCCGGGGAGCTCTTAGAAGAGCGAAAAAAGGACGAAAAAAGTATTG